TTGTGGCTAGTCCTAATTTATTGTGTTATTCTTCTACTGTGTTATATTCCTGGCGAATAGGAATAGTATTGGTCATTTTCCCAAGGGAAGGCCCCCTTGTATTCCAAGCACAGAGAGGAGTCAATTTTCACCAAGTGTGGAAATAAGGAACCCAGGACTCAATCCATGAGAAGAGAGGAGAGAAGCCATGGGTTTCTGATTAGCAAGCATCAGGGGCGGAGGTTTGAGGCATGCCTTGGGAGAGAAGCTACATTTAAATTACAAAACAAGGTGAATTAATGCTGCAACAAATGTAAGACTGAAACAAATGCCAGACTGCCTACATTGTCTTTAGTTCCATTTTAAGGTATATAGATGATCACATTCTTTATTCTAAAAATCATGGGTTTGGCTGTGTAATTTCTAATGTAGTGCTCTAGACATCTAGGATGTTGCAGCTATGGCCTGCTCTTCATTTAATATTAATGGCTGTGGGGATTTAAAATTGATAAAAGCTTTTACCATTCATTTATCTTCCTCTCTCTCTGTTTTCTCCCTCTTCCACACTATATTTGAGTTGAGGAGAGCCCTGCTGCTTGTCAGGCATTGCTCAGTGTTGCTGCCAAAGCAGTGGGATTTGTTTGATGCATCTCTTAAAGGCAAGTGCTGTGAGTGGTCCTTCTTTGCAGCTTGACCATGATGTTATGGCAATTGGTAAACAGCCAAGATGCTGAGAGGTAGATAGATCAAGAGGAAAAAAAGGGGGCAGTAGAAGATGGTGAAATTAGAGCAATGGAAGGAAGGTGAGGCGGGGAAGGGCAGATTTCCATGGCCACCTTCTCTGGGGTCCCAATTCAGCAGTCCATTGTTATTCAGCAGCATGAGTTGAAGTACTTTGCTGACTAGGAACAGGCCTAGTCACGAGTTTAGATGCTTTGCTGAATTGGTATCCATGAGCTCATATGACCTTTAAGCAGCAGTCTGTGGACTTCTGACAACATAAATCTTGCTTTCTGTTGTGAAAAATCAAATCTGGTCTCTCATTTCAGATGCTCCTAAGTTCATGCAGAACTCAGTCTTTTTGGTTCTTTGTCACAAAGGTTTAAAAATGAAGAAACTGATCTGTAAAGTAGAAAGAGGTGCTGCTTATTTGTGTTATTAAATATATGTCGGTTATAAAATTCATACTAGCAGAAGGAAAATGTACTTGAAGCAAAAATAAAATCTGAACCCTGAAGTGGGGGGGCTAGATTGGTCTTATCTCCAACTGAATGATGGCAATACCTTTGAGATAGCATAAGCTACAAAATATAAATTGAGTTGGATTAATATTTATATTGTATAATATAATTTTTGTATGTAACATCATAAATTGAAAGCTACAAGATATTTTACTAGGAATGACTGATTTATTTCGGTATTTGTGGAAATTTAAATGAGTGATTATGGGTTAAGTTTGCATATATCAGTCTCTCTTCTTTCACCTAAATGAAATGCCAGACATTAGCCTCACTGGGGGAAAAGGTTGACAGATATAAATTGGAATTTAAGTTTCTTAATTCAGATTTGGTATATTCTCTATAGGCTTGTAAATTTGAAAACATCATTTGTTACATAGTTTGGTTCTGATAAATAAGAAATTGAGTTTAATGCATCAGAGACATTTATAGTTCACATGAATGTACAAGAAGACTAAGGTTTAAATCATAATAGTATTGCTAGAGATGGTGTAATAAAAATAGATAAACAGTCAAATGTAGCCAGTTAAGCTATTATGCTGATATGATTTGGGAACATCTAAAATGTAATAACTAGAGATGGTTTCCCCCTTTAGATGATTATAATGAAAATTAACAAACAAAAATAAAATGTCAATGGGCCAATAGATATTAAATATATTTCCTGAGGAATCTCTGGGGATTGTGTAACTCTACAATTCCAGGTAAGCAAAAAATCTAGCCTTTGAGGCTATACCTTCAGGAGGGGCTACAGTGTGATAGGCCCATTGGCTGATTAATGCAATGTAGAAGTTGTGCCTGGATTCAAACTTTGAGATTGGGGTGATGTGTATGACCAGCATGCTGTGACAACTGATGTAACAGATTAGAAGTTGCACTGGTGAATGAAAAGCAAGTTTAATGAGGTAAGGGTACCAAATCTATCTCAGTGAAGTCAGTGCAATTAGAAAGGCATCCCCAGAGCTAGACTGAACAGGTTTCATAACCCCTACATGTTGAAAAGTGGTAACTTCATATCTCAGCAAATGTTTGTGAGATGGGTCCATGAAAAGGGTGTGGAAGGGAGAAATGAAGGCAAAAAGGAGGAATACATTTATATTATTACTTCCAAAGCCCATTTGCTGGATGTAATTCTCTCCCACACAAGCTGGAAAAGGGAAAGACAGTATCCAAGGTGGCAAAGATGGAGAAGATAGTACAGAAGATGGATTGGCATTTAGATAACGTGGGTGACTGAGATAAAGTAGCTGTGGTGTTTGATTGGCTTGTTTATTGAATATCTTGGTCTCTTGGCTGGTGATTCAGGGTTGCCAGTGGAAATTCAAGACATGTATTGGAAAGAACCATGGAATGTGTGAGACTTGCTACATTCTCTTTTAGTTGCAGGTATATAAATTGTGAGGGATCAAAGTGTAACCCACAAGTCTTTCAAGATGTGAAGAAACTCACCAGTCGATTAAAAGAACAACTGTGGCCATCCATAGGGAGGTCCTCAGCAATGTTGTGCAATTCCCTAGAGAAACTGGATATCTGCTTCCACAATGGAAATCACATCATGATTATGGTGGAAATGGACTTAGCTCCGATATCAGCTATATGCAAGGAAGACTGCAATAATCTTCTCTCTAAGAGTTGCCCTTTGTTTATGATGTTCTTAAATTGTTTTGTGCTGTTTGTCTCATTCATTTATTATTTCCACAACCAGGGAATTCAGTGACACTTCCAAGTACTTTGCTAAAATGCAATATTTTAGTTGGCACATTTACTGGTGGTGGATTGTACAGTTGGAGTCTGCCAGATGGTCTTAGCAGGCTCTAATAAAGCCAGATTCACAAGGAGGGCTGCAGGCAGAAGCTTGAAGCATGCAATATGTCCAGAAGTTTATTATGAAAGCCTTTGACCTTCACTATTGGGGTTTGAAACACATAGCCACTATGTACTTCATCAGCTCCTGAAATAGTTTAGTTATTTTCCATGGAAAGTGGTTGAGGGATTAGAACCCCATACAGCAATGAGGAGATATTCATGTGGTTGCCTCTTGCCTCCTGTTCTTCCAAAAATGTCCTCTGCTGACTCTAGTTTGTGGGGTGTGAGTAAGGGCTCAGGGGAATAGGTCTGCCTATTTGACCTGCAAGAGTGACACAGAGACCTTAGGAATTGTTGGCATTACAGGCCCAGGATTCCCAATAAGACCACTGGGGAGAGCCATGCACCATTGATAACACGAGGGAGACAGAGGATGACATCATCTGTGCTTTGATGTCTCTCAATTGGTGGAAGAATGGTGTCTTACAGAAAATACCATTGAACTGACATCCACAAATCAGAAAACTCAGCAACTTTTTTTGAGGGGAGGGTATGATAACTGATTTCAGTAGCTACCCCCATTCCAGCTCTCTTCCACTGCTGATACTCTTCTCCCCAAAAGTGAAGTTAAATTTAGTGATGTGTCAAGCTGGAACAGGACAGGGGAAATGTGGGTGGGAGTACAGAGAGAAGGCTGCATGGAGAAACTTGGGAGGAAAACAAACTGGAGTTACAGAAAGAGGCATGAGAAGAGGAGGCAGAGGGGAAGGGCAACAGCACAGAGAAGGGGCTGACGAGCTAGGGAGGGTAGTTTTGGAATATCAAGGACAGGTGTAAGTGTACATCTAAGGATTCCTAAATGTGAGCCCCACATTGCACAGCACACGTGTATACACAGGCAGTGAGCATACACACTTGCTTACAGGTTGGATTACATATACAGGCAGTCCCCGAGTTACGTGGATCCGACTTACGTAGGTCCCACCGCCTGCGTCCTCCGGGGCAAGAAAAGCTGCTCCGCATCTCCCTGGTCTGCTGGGGGGAGCCCCCCCCCAGCAGACCAGGGAGACCCAGAGCAAAGCCGCGGAGCATGCGGGCAGCGGACAGCCCAGACGTGTCTGGGCTGTCTGCTGCCCACGTGCTCTGCAGCTTTGCTCTGCTTTGCTCCCCGTCCCCCTGGTCTGCAGATCAGGGGGACGGGGAGCAAAGCGGAGCAAAACCGCGGAGCACGCGGGCAGTGGACAGCCACGGCACATCTGGGCTGTCCGCTGCCTGTGTGTTCCGCCACTTTGCTTCCTCTCCCTGGTCTGCTGGAGACCAGGGAGAGGGCCCCATTCGTAACTGCGGATCCGACGTAACTCGGGGACTGCCTGTAATTATATTTGAAAATGTAATGAGGAAGGGTCAGCTCCCAGAAGACTGGAAGAGGGCAAACATAACACTCCTCATGATGACGAGATGGACTAGTTGACTTCTCCAGCTCCTTTCCATGATTCTGTGTCATTATATATCCCATAGTTAAGACACTACTTGAACTGTGGGGTGACTGTCAAATGATTGTGGCTGAGTTGCAAACAAGACATGGAAAATCGTAGAAAAGTAAAATGGACTATTAATATCTGTGGTAATTTGAAAAAGCCAGAGAAGACCTATTTAAGCAAAATCTGCTGAAACAATATAAACTCTCAACTATTCCGTTATGCCTGCTAAATTTTTGATAACCAGACATTTTGCTGCAATTATATTACAGCCATTAATGCATGGGGCTGCAGCCCAAACCCCAGCAGCTATCATGTCTGATAAATGGGATTATTTTGTAAGCAGCAGCTGAATCTGGATGCCAGTTCCGACTTACATACAAATTCAACTTAAGAACAAACCTACAGTCCCTATCTTGTACGTAACCCGGGGACTGCCTGTACTCTCATATTTGGAAGCAAAGTGCCCACTCCTCCTTCTCCCTCTAAGGATTTGCTGTGTATTGCAGAGTCTGTGCCAGAATTATGCATTTGTAAGCATGTGCTGTGCCGGCTCCTCTGTCACAGCAGACTCTGATGCCGAGTCCTCATTCCCTCTCCCAGAGCTGCTGTGTGTGCAGCTTTGCTGAGAAGTGCTGCCAAGGTAGTGGGAGAAGTTGTCAAAGGTTCCCTCATCATTGGCTCTGTAACTTTTCATTTCCTTTTCTCCATTTCTCCTCACACTGGGCTTGCCATTCCACAGCACAAGTGTAAATGGATGGACTTCAGAGAAGCTAGAAGTACTGACCAGGTTTGATCCCAGACCCAGGCTAAAACCAGTGATGTCTGAGACAAAACTGGATAATGAGTCCCCTTCTTGTGGGAACTGGTCATCTGCTCCAGAATGGAATGATACTCGGGAGCCTTTGTCAATCCCCTCTGCTGACTATGATGATGAGGAATTTCTGCGATACCTTTGGAGAGAATATTTGCATCCAAAAGAATATGAATGGGTCCTGATTGCAGGATATATTGTTGTTTTCATTGTGGCTCTCATTGGAAACATCCTAGGTGAGTAGCACTCTGCATTTCTCCTCTGAAGAGTTGTAATATAACCTGTTTGCACGGATTTTCAGGCAGCCTATACTATGAATAAAAGGTAGGTGAGTTAACAGTGGCATCTGGGAACATTGTTTCTTGTATCCGAGAGTGAAAGTTAGATTTAGACAAACAGGGGACATGAATGTGTTTGTATCTGGCAGTTTATTTTGAAATTAAAATGGCTAACTCTTCATGTCATTTGTCATGCTTGGTATTTAAGAGGCTGGGAGCGTCATGTTTTGAGAGTGTTAAAAGCAGCTCTTATCACTGTTTTCATTTAGAGAGCTACATTAAGACAGTCGGCTTTCTAGCTGTTTACTAACTAACAATTAGTCATGGTTGTAATTAGAATCCCCAAGAAACAAGCTCATCCAAACTAGGAAGGTTGTGTCAATGAAATGTTTGTTCTCTAATCTCTGTCCAGCTGGCAGTAGTGCTGAAATTCTCCAGCCCCATTCAGATCTTTGCAGACATATGTTTTCCTTCATGTGGTGCTGACAGCTGCTCTTGACAGCACTTTTGTGTCTGGTCATAATGCTGCTTTTCATTCAGAAATTCTCAAACAAGTTAGCAGAGTTTAACTTAGACATTTCAATGCAATGGCTATTTATACTCACCTGACAGGAGCACTCCAGGCACTGACAAATGTGGAAAGCAGATTAAATCAAGAACTTGTTCTTATATCAGCTGTTTGAATAGATTTCTATGCTAGGGTTCAAGGATATAACTATGTAGAATGAAGCACTCCCAGCTTTCAGCCAGGGGGAGAAAGCAGACAAAAATCTCAATCTCTCTCTCTCTCTCTCTCTTTTCCTACTCTCACCCAAATTTCATTCATCTGTGAAGGAGGAGGAGGAAGGGAGGTAGTGCAGCAGGAAACTAAGAACACTGGCTGCTGCTTCATGCAGGGTTGCTCAGAATAATCTATTGGGAAAAAGTGCGGGGGACTTTGTTTGGGGGGACATGGAGGAGGGAACCTGGGGAATTTGAGGGAGGTGAACTGGTGAGTAAGGAAGGCAGAGAAAAGAGGAGGAAGGAATAGGAAGATGGAGGGATTTGAAAGTGAAGCAGAGCAAAGGGGAAGGTTGGAGGTTCTTTACCAGGTAGACTAAGAGAAAGAATGTCCAAGTGAGTGATGGAGGCAAGGAAGACATGAGGCAGGGGATGGAGAAAAGCAATATCATGAGTGAAAGTTAAAGTGAAACCTTAGGGCAGAAAGTCATGGGAATGTTAAGAGTCAAGATAGGGGAAAATGGGGATGGAGGAGTAACTGAGAATTTCGAAGTGAAACAACTGGGATATATTTGAGGTAGAGGGAGGGAGGAATGGTGCAGGGCCAGAGTGTGGAGGGAGCAGAAGAAAGAACAGGCAGGAATCTGGAGCATGGCAACAGTGAGAATTGTTGAAAAGCAAAGGCAGAAAGAGGATGAGGGGGGAAGGAAGGATGGGGGAAGAGGAGCTTGTGTATAAGAAACAGATTTAAATACAGAGAAGAGTGACTGGGGGAGATGGAAGATGGCTTTGGAATAAGGAGAAGAAGCTAGGGTGTTTGGGGAAGCTGGGAGTGACTGAAGAGAGAAAATGTGAAGGGATTTATCAGAAGCCAGTATCCTTAGAAGCTAAAAGTAGCTCTCGGGTAAAATAATGGAATAATTTAGGGAAATAACATATATAACTCTTTGGAATCTAACGTAAGCAGAGATTTAAAAAAAAAACACTCCAGCAGTTATGTCCAAGGCTTCATTTCTAGGACAAATAAATCATGCCACACAACTAGTGGAGAATTAAGGCTACATGTAGGGACTGTGCTTAAAGTTCTTGAAACTACAGGGTACTGGACTCACGGGGGGATTAAAGTGCCCAGATATCTTTTGGGTTCACTCACAACCAAACTTGCATCATCAGTGAGATGCTGAGTTACACAGGAAAGAGTTTTATAACCCAAGAAGTAAAAAATGCAGCCACAAGAGAAGTCATCTTGGACTAACTTGCTACCAGTTAGGAGGAAGTGATTAAAAATATGAGGCAAATAAAGAAACGATATGGTGTGTTTGTGAGCTACTTGAATTCAACAGTGTAATGAAGGGGTTAATAAAAGTATTAAAATATCCATTGATCAGAGTCAAATGGGAGGAATTATTCAAGTCATAATGGTAGAAAAAGACTGAACAATCTGAACATACCTCAATGAAGGCAGAACTTCTCGGGAAGTTAGTGGGGGAAGAAGAGACAAGAGGACTGGCAGGAACAAGACATGGCTACTATAATGAGAATGGAAAAGGGAGGAAGTCAACCAAACAAGACTGTATGGGCTGGCTGAAAAAATTGTGCCAGTTATGTGAAATAAGAATCTGAAAGGTGTTTGTCCTGTAACACATGTATTAGATGTAGTGTGACAAGGGAGAAAATTTCCGTATTGACTCTCATTTTAATTTTTCCCATGGTTTCCATTTTTTAGTTGTATAATTTCTCACTGGCAGTTCAGATACCCTAGCAAATTAAAATAACTACCATTCTAATGGATAATTGACATTTACATTCTGCAGTAACCACTTTTAAAAATAAACCCTTTTATGGATTCAGTACATTTCCCAATAGCCACATCCCCCCACATGTGGTACCCATTAATGGTCCCTAGACCACAGGTGGAGAAACTTCAACATTTTTATTTAAAAGAAACCACTAAGATGTTCCTGCATTAAGAATTAAAATAAAGTCCTATTTTCACCCTGTATTGTAGCTACCAGTGGTTAGCAGATTTCCATCATTTAAATGTTTTTCCCTCACTTTAGCATGAGTGTCTCTTGGACCATTTCTAAGGGTATGTCTACACTACCCCGCTAGTTCGAACTAGCGGGGTAGTGTAGACATACCCTACTTGCAAATGAAGCCCGGGATTTGAATTTCCCGGGCTTCATTTGCATAAGCGGGGAGCCGCCATTTTTTAAACCCCGCTGGTTCGAACCCCGTGCAGCGCGGCTACACGGGGCATGAACTAGGTAGTTCCAACTAGTTTAAAACCCCGCTGGTTCGAATAGGTAGTTCCACGAAGTGTACCAGTAGTTCAGAATAGGAAGCCTAGTCCAAACTACCTAGTTCGAGCCCCGTGTAGCCACGCTGCACGGGGTTCGAACGAGCGGGGTTTTAAAAATGGCGGCTCCCCGCTTATGCAATTGAAGCCCGGGAAATTCAAATCCCGGGCTTCATTTGCAAGTGCGGTATGCCTACATTACCCCGCTAGTTCGAACTAGGAGGGTAGTGTAGACATACCCATAAGGACATAAGATGTCATTGACACAAATCTTGTTTTTTAGTGGGAATTGGAGAACTGCAGCAACAACTGAAGAGATGCTGGATCTTTTGAGAGGACACTTTACAGGGGTGCTTGAAAATCCAGATTAATAAGCAGGAAGTGTTAGAATGTTTGAACAGTAAAATGCAGACATAAAAGTGTCTGGCTCTGCAAGCCTAAGATCATCTGAAGAAGGAATGGCTAGTGAAGTCTGAGATTTGGTGAATCTCATGCTAACTGAATTTTCCATTTTAAGTAAAACTATTTTGCAAAATCCTTTTCTGTAATTTAACACAATTATTTTAGTACTACAATTATAACATTTTTCTCTCTAAAGAGGAACTTGTGCAACTTGTGCTATGTATTAGAGATTGTAGAAAAAAAGTTAGGCTGTCCCAAGTGACTTGTAGCTACATATATTTGATGAAGTCCTTAGCTGGTGTATGATAGTATAGTACCCTTGTCTTCAATGAATCTACCACCACTTTACACAATTTGAAGATCTGACAGTAGTGCATTGTTATTAAATTTGGTTTCTTTTTTCATTTTTGTTTTTTATTCAGCAATCCTCATAACCAGAATAGAAACTCAATACAAATTCAGTTGAACCTTGGTCATGGTGCTAATCGTAGAGATAGGAGTAGCAGAAAATGAGAAACTTGGGAGACTCCTAAGATCTGAGTCCTCTCTCATTTGAATTACTTTCATGTTCATTTAAAACTCTTGGCTTCAGTGGACCTATCTTAGTGCAAGTGAAATCAATATCTGGTCTATAATCATTGGATGATTTGAAGCATAGAGCTATAGCTAAATCCACAGTTTGAATTAAAACCTTTGAGATGTGGTGCTATGAATCTCCTAGTTGGGAAAAAAAAGACAAGTGCTTATGTTAAATATTCTTGGAGAGAAGCTGATCTTGATATTGGAAATCAACAGAACTACACTTTTGGGCGACGTCTGCACTGCAAGCTTTTTGCGCAAAGAGCTGTTTTGCTCAAGAGTTCTTGCGCAAAAGGTCTTGCGCAAGAGCGTGTCCACACTGCCATGTGCTCTTGCACAAGGGATGTGCTTTTGTGCAAGAGCATCCATGACAGTGTGGACACTCTCGTGTGCAAGAAAGCTCTGATGGCCATTTTAGTCATAGAGGTTTCTTGTGCAAGAAACCCCTATTGCTCATCCACATTGCCTTGTTGCGCAACAGCTCTTGCTCAAGAGGGCTTATTCCTCATGGGGAACGGAATAACTCTTGTGCAAGAGACCCTCTTTTCTGATGCTCTACTGTAAATTTACTTGCGCAAGAACACATATGCAGTGTAGATGCTGTGCAAGTTTGTTCTGGTGCAAAAAGCCTGCAGTGAAGACGTAGTCTTTCAGGCTAGGGGCAGCTATGGGGACCCCCTGATCGGCCCTGCGGATGAGGCAACCAGGCAGTGTGGTGGCCACACACTCATCCCTAAGCCCCTCCACATCCCATGCCCTGAGCCCCCTTGACTGCAGTCCCCTGTTCTGGGCCCCTCCCATACCCAACCTCGTGCCCTGACTCCTGCACCTCCCACACTTCTGCCTGGAGCACCCCCACCTGACTCCCCTGCCCTGACTCCTGCATACACACCCTGTCCTAAGTCTCCCCAAACCTCTCATCCCTTTGCCCTTAATCCTGCATTCCCCCACATCGCTA